ATGCTGGTGCTGATGCTGGTGCTTGTGCTGGTGCTGGTACTTGTGCTGGTTCTCGTACCGGTGCTTGTGATGGTGCTTGGGCCAGTGCTAGCGCTTTTGCTGGTGCTTGTACTAGTGCTAGTACTCGTGCTGGTGCTGTTGCTGGTGATGGTGCTGGTGCATGTACCGGTGCTGCTGCTAGTGCTAGAGCTGGTGGTCGTACCGATGCGTGTGCTGATTCTTGTACTATTTCTAAGGCTGGTGCTGGTGCTGATGCTGGTGCTGATGCTGGTGCTTGTGCTGGTTCTTGTGCTGGCGCTCGTACCATTGCTTGTGATGGTGCTTGGACCAGTGCTAGCGCTTCTGCTGGTGCTGGCGCTGATGCTGGTGCTTGTACTAGTGCTAGTACTCGTGCTGTTGCTTATGCTGGTGCTTGTGCTTCTGCTGATGGTGGTGCTGGTGCTAGTGCTGATGCTGGTGCTGGTGCAGGTACTTGTGCTGGTTCTAGCGCTAGAGCTGCTGGTCGTACTGATGCTTGTGCTAATTCTTGTACTATTTCTAAGGCTGGTGCTGGAGCTGCTGCTGATGCTGGTGCTGATGCTGATGCTTGTGCTTGTGCTGGATCTTATGCTGGTGCTCGTACCGGTGCTTGTGATGGTGCTTGGACTGGTGCCGGCTCTTTTGTTTGCGCTTGACATGGTTCTTGCTCTAGTGCTACTGCTGTTGCTGGTGCTGCTTCTGGTGTAGGTGCTGGTGCTGGTGGTTGTGGCGGTGCTTGTGCTGGTGCTTGTACTAGTTCTAGGGCTAGTGCTAGTGCTGGTAGTTGTGCTTGTGCTTGTGTTGATGCTTGTACCCGTGCTTGTACTGGTGCTTATGCTGGCATTTGTGCTGATGCCGGTGCTGGAGCTTGTTCTCGCCCTGGTGCTGGCGCTTGTGCTGGTGCCTGTACTAGTGCTGGAGCTGGTGCTGCTTCTGGTGCTAGTGCTGGTGCTCGTGCTAATGCTGGTGCTTGTTCTGGTTCTTGTATCCGTGCTTGTGCTGGATTTTAGGCCGGCGCCAGTGATTGAGCTGGTGCTTTTACTAGTGCTACTGCTGGTGCTGGTTTTTGGTGCTGGTGCTTATGCGTGGGCCAGTGCCGGCGCTTGTGCTGGTGCCTGTACTAGTGCTTGAACTGGTGCTGGTGCTGCTGCCTGTGCCGTTGCTTGTGCTCCCGCTGGCGCGTCTTCCTGTCCTGGTGGAAGTGCCGGTGCTGTTGTTGGTGCTTTCCTTGTGCTGGTGCTGGCGCTTGTGCTGGTCCCTTTTACTAGTGCTGGAGCTGGTGCTGCTTCTGGTGCTAGTGCTGTTGCTGGTGCTAATGCTGGTGCCTGTGCCGTTGCTTCTGCTGTTGCTGGTGTTGGTGATGGTGCTGGCGCTTGTGTCTGTCCTGTAGCTTAGTGCTAGTGCTGGTGGTGGTGGTGGTGTTAGTGCTGGTGCTGTTGCTTGTGTGAGACCCGGTGCTAGTGCTGGTGCTGGTGCTTGTGCTGGTGCTTGTGCTGGTTCTTGTGCTGGTACTAGTATTGGTGCTGGTGCTTGTGTTTGTTCTGGTTCTTGTACTGGTGCTTGTGCTGGAGCTTGGGCCGGTGCCAGTGCTTGATCTGGTGCTTGTACTAGTGCTAGTGCTGGTGATGGTGCTTTTGCGGTTGCTTGTGCTGGTGCTGTTGCTAATGCTGGTGCTAGTGTCTGTGCTGTTGCTTGTTTTGGTGCATGAGCTGGCGCTTATGCCTGTCCTGGCTCCTAGTGATAGTGCTGCTGGTGCCAGTGGTGGTGCTGCCGCTGATGCTTGTGCTGCTGCTTGTGCTTGACACGGTGCTTGTGCTGGTGCTTGTGCTGGTGCTTGTGCTGGTGCTTGTGCTGGTGCTTGTGCTGGTTCCTGTGCTGGTTCCTGTGCAGATGCTTGTGCTGTTGCTGGCGCTTGTGCCTTTTTGGTGCTTAGGATGATGCTGGTGCTGGTGGTTGTTCTGTTGGTGGTGCTGATGCTGATACTGATGCTTGTGCTGTTCTGGTGCTGTTGTTTGCCCTTGTGCAAGTGCTTGTGCTGTTGCGTACTCTTTCTAATGCTGGTGCTGGTGCTAGCGCTCGTACCGGTGCATGTGATGGTGCTTGGGCCAGTGCTAGCGCTTCTGCTGGTGCTGGTGCTTGTGCTAGTGTCAGTGCCGGCGCTTGTGCTGGTGTCTGTTATAGGCTAGAGCTGGTGCTTGTGCTGGTTGTGCTGCTAGTGCTGTTGCTAGGGCTGGTGCCTGTGCTGGTGCCTGTGCTTGTGCTGGTACTGGTGTTGGTGTTGGTGCTGGTCCTGGCGCTTGTGTCTGTCCTCGTGCTTAGCCTGATGCTGGTGTTTGTTCTGGTGATTATGCTGTTGCTTTTACTGGTGCCAGTGCTAATGCTGGTTCTTGTGCTGATGCTGGTGCTGGTGCTTAAGCTGGTACTCAAGCTGGTGCTTAAGCTGGTGCTTAAGCTGGTGCTTAAGCTGGTGCTTGTACTGGTGCTAATGCTGGTGCTGGTGCTTGTGCCGGTTTTTGTCCTGGTGCTGGCGCTTGTGCTGGTGTTGGTTCTAGTGCTTCTACTGGTGATTGTGCCTTTCCTGGTGCTTAGGCTGGTGCTGGTGGTGGTGATGGTGGTGGTGCTGGTGGTGGTGCTTGTGCTAATGCTAGTGCTTGTACTGGTGCTTGTGCTGGTGCTTGTGCTGGTGCTTGTGCTGGTGCTTGCGCTGGTGCTTGTGCTGGTGCTTGTGCTGGTGCTTGTGCTGGCGCTTGTGCCTGTCCTTGTGCTTAGGATAATACCGGTGATGATGCTGGTGCGGGTGCTGCTGCTAGTGCTGGTGCTGGTGCTTGTGCTGGTGCTGGTGCTGGTGCTGGTGCTGGTGCTGGTGCTGGTGCTGGTGCTGGCGCTTGTGCTGGTGCTCGTACCGCTGTTTGTGCTTCTGCTTGGGCCGGTGCCAGTGCTTGTGCTGGTATTTGTACTAGTGTTAGTGCTGGTGCTGGTGCAGGTGCTTGTGCTGGTACCTGTGCTTATGCTGGTGCTTATGCCAGTTCTTATTTTTCTTCTTGTACTAGTGCAAGTGCTGGTGCTGGTTCTGGTGCTGGTGTTAGTGCTGGTGCTTGTGCTGGACCCGGTTCTGGTGCTAGAGCTGGTGCCTGTTTCGGTGCTTGGGATGGTTTTTATGCTGGGGCTTGTGTTGGTGCTTGTGCCTGTCCTGATGCTTATGCTTGTGCTTGGGCTGGTGCTTGTGCTTCTGCTGGTGCTGTGCTGGTCCCATTGCTTGTGATGGTCTCAGTGCTTTTGCTGGTGCATGTATTAGTGCAAGTGCTGGTGTTGGTGCTGATGGTGGTGCTTGTATTAGTGCTGGTGCTGGTTCTGGTGCCTGTGCTTCTGCTGCTGCTTGTGCTGGACTCGGTGCTTGTGCTGGTGCTGGTTCTGTTGCTGGAACTTTTGCTAGTGCTTGAGCTGGTGCTTATGCTGGTGCCTGTGCTGGTGCTGGTGCTGGTGCTGGTGCTGGTGCTGGTGCTGGTGCAGGTTCTGGTACTGGTGACTGTGCTTCTGCTGGCGCTGTTGCTTGTGCTGGACCCCGTGCTTGTGCTTGGTGCTGGTACTTGTGCTGCTGCTTGGGCCGATATGGGTGCTTGTGCTGGTGTCTGTACTAGTGCTTGAGCTGGTGCTAGTGCTGGTGCTGGTGCTAGAGGTGGTGCTGGTGCTGGTGCAGGTGCTGGTGCTGATGCCTGTGCTTGTGCCGGTGCTTTTGCTTGTGCTGGTGCTTGTGCTGGTCCCCTTGCTTGTCCTGTTGCCGGTTTTGGTGCTGGCTCTTGAGCAGATGCTGGTGCCTGTGTTGGTGCTGATGCTGGCGCTAGTGCTGGTGCTAGTGCTGGTGCTGGTGCCTGTGCTTGTTCTGGCGCTTGTGCCTGTCCTGTTGCTTAGGATGGTGCTGGTGCTGATGTTGGTTCTGGTGGTGGTGCTTGTGGTGGTATAGGAAATATTGGACGCTACGGGGGTGCATTCGGTACTTTTAGATAGACGAGGAGGAAGTAGGAAGAGAAAAACTGAACTACGAAGGAATTTTTGGTTCTTTGTAAATTAAGTAGGATATCTTTTGTTTTGTTCAAAGAAAATTCGAAAAACGTAAGACGAAGACTTTGATTTATTGTAGATTCTTCACGCGGCCAGGGGAGATTTTACTTTAAAGTGCCGACTATGAAGGGACGACGAATCGATACAGCGAGGGGCTTTAGACCAACGAAACGAGATGGAATCTGAAGGCGTAAAGAAATTAGTTGTAAAGGAAATTTTAAAGGTAAATTTGTATGGGGAGCAGATGAAGGAAGCAATAGATGAAGACGAAATCGAAAAGCTGAATTCGTTTAAATGGGCTTTGGAGCTGTTTGTTAAGGGCAAAGCAGTAATAAATGAATGTAATATTAAGTTGAATGATTTAGGCAAGAAAAGGGTGGAAGATGAAGAGAGGAAAATAAGGGAGGAGGAGAGAAAAGAAGTGAGAGAATATGAAGAATCAATGAGAAAAAAGTTTGAAAAGGATAGAGCAGCATGGATTTTACAACAAAAAATAATGATAGAATCCAAGGAAAAAGATATGGAAATTGAAAGAAAGGCAAAACAGAATTCAGCAAATCTCCCTACATTAAGCATTGCACCATCCCAGGGTACCATCCAAAGGATTGGGTAAGATTTTCAAATCAATTTAAGTCACAAATAGACAGCCAACCACTTAACAAGGTAGTTAAGCTAGGTTATCTCCCACAATTTGTGAGGGGAGAGTGTCATGAGTTACTTGGTAATATTCCAAACAATGATGAAGGATGCGACAGGGCCAGGGCCGTCAAGAGACGGGCCGGGCCCCAGGGCTGGGACTGTCATGGGGCCCCACAGTCGAAGACTGCAAAAACCTTTTTTGGATTACGCCCTTAGCAATGCAGTTAGATGGACTGTAAAAGGCATGAATTTTGAAATCAACGCCACTGAAACACTTGAATTTGTATTTTAAGGTCTTTAACAGAACATGTAATTAGTGACTATATAAAACAAATCATTAAAACAAATCAGTTTAAAAATCAGAGTTAATTTAATGTTTAAAAAACTGCTTTTCTTGCTTTCCTCATGGCGAAATCCTTAATCTTTTCCCACAATCGTTTCCAGCTGTCGTTCGCTCCCCAACCATCAGGAGAAGCCAATTTTGATTTTCAACCATTATTAATAGTGTGCTTGGCAAACAATAGAGTGCAGCCTTTGTAGGACTGAAAACAAGCCAGCTTCTTCTTACTACCTCCCAATTTTGCTGCTTCACATTAAGGACCGTTGTTGGAAATTTGTGGCCGTCGCAATCTTTGGGAAACTCTGGAGGATGAGGCAAATGACCAGTTCTAACAACCTTTTCTAACTCCTTTATCGTTGGAAATCCGGTCAATGTGCCGATATCAAAACTAGATGATCCACTATGAACAGTATCTTGATTTAATGACGGATCAGTAGTGCTTTCTCTACTTTCTGGGGTGTCATGGTCTACCGAAGCAGCCAAGCCGTTTGTGTCTTCTTCTTCATCAGCGGTGCTTTGAACAGAGCTTTCACCAGGTTTATTTAAAGTTGAATCACCTTCCTTGTCTCTTTTGAAAGCACCTACCTCAAACAATGTGCGAGAGGCTTTCTTTGCTTCTTTTTCTCGCATCTTTTTTCCTGCCTTTTCTGAGCACCAGACTTGTGCCTGTAAGATGACATCGCAGGGGTTGGTTGGATCGTGATCCCGCTTAGTGATTTTGATAAAGACTTTTATAGCGTTTGGATTTGTCTTTGCATGTGCTTTTTCTCTGGTGTACGCCGTGAATGGAAGATTTAGTTTTACGTTTATAGGAAGTCCACACAAGGAATAACTAAAACATTTGACCTAAAAGTAGATATATGTAAGTGCAATCGAATTTTTCGGCTTTCGGAGAAGTATATTGTGAGCGTATCGTCAATGTTTTAATTATAAACCTTAACAAAAAAAGGCCCTCATCATAGACCAGCTTGTTGATCCCTTGTTGAAAGAATGAATTTCGAATATCAATCGGGTCATGGGCCCGCCCTGCCAATGCTGCTAATTGAAAACTCATAGCCAAAAATACATACCTTATTTTCTACGGGCCCCCTGGTAACTACCCTGGTTACCCCCCCCCCCCCCCCCCCCCTCTCGACGGTCCTGGACAGGGCTTTGCAGTTACTTAAGGGGGAATATGGACAGGAGAAGACTGTTCTTGCTGCTCATACTAGGGAAATCATAGAGTTACAAGCAGTGAAAGGTATTAAGTACTTTAGAATCAAGGAGTTCTATGATATATTGCGCATAAATTATGAGGCTTTAAAGGCAATGGGAGGCCACATACAAGTTGAGGGTTTAGTGCTATCAACACTTTCAAAACTACCAGAAATTAAAGCTGATATCACCAGAAATGATAATGATTGGGAAAAATGGGCATCTGAAGATTTATTAAGAGAACTTAGAAATTGGCTCAAACGTAATGAAATTGATGATGAATTTATTGTAAAAAGGAGAGATGATAAAAGAGGAGATTTCAGTAGACAAAGAGAATCATTCATGACCACAGAGCAAAGAGGCCCAAGATGCTTTTACTGTCCAAGCAAGCACTGGCTAGATAAGGGCAATATCGTCATAGGCAAAAGGGAAAGAAAACAGATTTTGAAAAGAAAAGGTTTATGCTTCAAGTGTGGTGAAAGCCCTTGTCAGAGATTGCACCAAAAGAGGTTGTTTTATATGCCAAGGAAACCATCATTCAAGTTAACACGAAGAAAGAGTTCAGAGGGCAGAGGCAAGCCTAAGTGTTTACACTCAAAGTGATGATTATATATTACCACTGATACTTGTTGAGCTAAAAGGGGAGCAGATTCGGGGCCTACTTGACACTGGGGCCATAAAAGAATTATATCAGCAGAAAAGCTGTAAAGTTGCTGAAGCTAAGGCCATTAAGATGGGAAACAACCAGCCTAAGAACAGTAGAGGGACAAGGAAAAAATGCCAAAAGAGCAGTTTATGAAATAAAGACATGTACCTCAATAGGAGAGAGTTTTGAATTTGAAGCTCTAGGACTAGATCAGCAAAACTTTGTAGAAATGGTAGAAAGAGCACAAAGCAAAGATTTGAAAATGAAATACACTCATTTAAAGGGTTTGCATATACCAGAAAGTAGAAATGGGACACATGAAATCCACATTCTGTTTGGAGATCCAACATTCACTGACATGAGAACTGGAAATTGTAGAAAGGGTTTTCAAGGACAGCCAATAGCAGATGAAACATTATTTGGCTGGGCAGTTCATAGAAAAAGGGTTGAAGCAGATCAAAGTTTTTTACTCAGACAACAAATGAAGAATATGAAAAGTTATACAGATTAGATGTTCTTGGCATAAAAGATAGAAAAGAGTTTTGATCAGCAAGAAGTAAGAAAGGAATTTATGGAAAATATAGAGCAAAATGAAGAAGGTAGGTATACAATCGAAGTACCCTGGATTGATGAAAGGAAACCACAGAATTCAAATGAGGGACAAAGCAAAGTAAGTTCAAGAAATTTGATGTCAAAGATGAAGGATAATGTTAGAGAAAGGTATGAAGCTATTATCAGAGAACAGCTAGAGATGGGAATAATTGAAGAGGCACGAGAGGTACCCACAGGAAAGAGGGCTTACTACGTGCCACATAAACCTGTTATTAGCGAAGAGGCTGTCAGCACTAAAGTGAGAATGGTGTTTGATGCCAGTGCAGAACCATCACTTGAAGATTATTTGATCAATGAATGTATGAACCCTGGCCCCCCAACACAACCCCTTTTGTGGGACATTCTAATAAGATCAAGGATGGCACCAGTCTGTATTGTTGGGCATGTATAAAAGGCATTCCTCCAAGTGGAGTTAAATGAATCAGACAGAGATGCTTTCAGCTTTCTTTTCAAGACAAAAGAAGGAATCGAGAAACACTACAGATTCTGTAGGGTTCCATTTGGAGGGGAAAGTTCTCCTTTCATTCTGGGGGGTGTAATTCAATATCGTCTAGAAACAGTGCAAGGAGATGATGAAGTTAAAGAAGCACTCAAAGAAAACACATATGTAGACAATGTGATGGGATTAGTTGTAAATGAAGCTGATGCAGAGAAATTTAAGGTAGAGGCCACAAATATGATGAGCAAAGGCAAATTTCCTCTTGGGAAATGGGAGAGTAATTTAGAGCATTTGAATGATGACAAAAAAGAGTAAAGACCAAACTGTTAGGCATAGGATGGAACAAGAAGGAAGACATTTATGCAGTTGAATTAGAACTAAAAGAACATTTTGCTGTTACCAAAAGAACAATGTTGAAAAAATTATCATCAATTTATGACCCACTTGGACTTATGTCCTCAGTTATAGTGGAAGGAAAGCATTTGTACAGATTAGCAGTAGATGAGAAGAAAGGGTGGGGTTCAGAAGTTAGCAAAGAGTTGAAAGAGAAATGGATAAAGTGGTTAAGCTCTTTTCAAAAGGTTGAGGTGCAAAGATCTATAGCACCATACCTCGAGGATATTACATTGATTGCTCTTCATTACTTGATGGATGCCAGTTCCAAGGCAGTTTCAGCTCAAACGATCGCAATCGTAATGCAGCCAAGTGGAGTATCACAAGGATTACTAAGTTCAAAGTCAAGAATATCAAAGAAAGGACTAACTATTGCAAGACTGGAGCTAGTAGCATGTCACATGGGGGCCAAAATTGCAGAGAACACAAACAGGGCATTGAAAAGATGGCCAATTCGGAAAGACTATTGTTAGACAGACAGTCTTGTAGGTTTGTGCTGGATAAGGAGGCCTTAAAAAAATTGGAAGTAATTTGTATCGAACCGAGTGAAAAGAATCAAAGAAATAACAGATAAATTAGAAATCAAAGGGAAGCATGTTCCAAAAAAATTTAATCATGCAGATGTCGGAAGTAGGGGAGCAACATTAAAACAATTCCAGAAGCAGGTTTGGTGGAAAGGACGT